ATCATCGTCACACCACCCACACATCACAACCTGAACATGATCGCAGTCTTGGGGGGTCAAGCCTGGATGTCCGCGAGCATGCTATCGATGTCGACAGTGTGCGTATCTTGCTTGAAGTAGCGGTACTCCGTGATCTTCAGCCCTCCTCCTCCCAGCAGCGGCTTGTGGTTCGCCCAGGAAGGGTCGGGAAGCATCATCGTTGTGATCCCCTGGGATACCAGGAGCTCCGCGCACACCCGGAGGGCCCCGCTCCCTCCCACGGTCTGCACGCCCATCGACGCGGGGGGGGAGGGAGGAGCCGAAGATCACTTCGGCCATGAGGGAGACAAACTTGTCGTCGCCTCCTGGATGCGGGTAGAAGCAGCTTGGGGCCACGGACTTGGCGGCTACCTTGACCGTCTCGAACTCATGGGAGGTGTTGTCGGTCCTGCATGAGAAGCTTCAGCACAGGGGTGAGGCTGGAGCAGCGGCACCTTCTAAGGACTCCAATGCCCAGGTCGAACTTGTTGGGGCGTGAATCGGCCTTGAATCTCCCGGTGATGGACAGCAGAGGATCAGGAGGAGCCTGTCAGGGGGTGGCTGAGCAACAAGCACCGTCCCCCTCTACCCGAACCTTGGGAACGTCCGCGAAGAAAGACATACAGATCTTGATTCTGCAAGCAAACCAATCTTTCATCCTCAAGCAGTTTGAGGATGCAGCACGTAGCTTCAACATGGACGACATGTAGGAATGTTTGATCCATTTACCTTCCGTGTCACATCACACCACACCACAACATAACACATCACATCACTTCACTTCAGGTAAACTCCAGCCTGTTCTGTTCCATGTTCTTGCCATCCACTCTTTATCAATCCTCTCTCCTCTTCTCGTAGCTGCTTTGAGTTTCATCTAGTTCTTCATCGCTGAAGACAAGAATCTTGAGGCACAAGTGGAAATAATCGCGTACCTTAACAACTTAAACCAGACCACGTGTGCATCATGAACATGCATGATGTCATATCATCATATCATCATCTTACACTCCCAACCTGCTCTCATCGACTGCTTCTTGACCTTACCTCGCCTCCTTTCACCCTTTGTTTCTTCTTTCCTTGCCTGATCCACATCACCTGCACCCCCACCTTATCTATCCTTCTGCTACTTTCATTCCTCTTTCTTGTTCCCCTCCTCTCTTCCTCCTCTCTTCTCCTCTCTCCTCTCTCCTCTCTCCTCTCTCCTCTCCTCTCTCCTCTCCTCCTCTCCTCATTCCACCAAACCATATCTTCGCTCTCGTTTATGCCCGGATCTTTTACAACCCCCGCCCCCCACCTACCCTCCCCTCTCAAAAGATAAGTACCACAGCCCACCCTCCCTTTCACCACCCCACCCATCCATAGTACCACTACCCACCACATTTGAAAGTAGCCATCTTTTGCTACGTAATGACCAAAAGATAGCTCTTACCACCCCTCCCTATCTATTGTTTTCCTACCCACCCCCTTCACGACCTACCCCCCGACCTCTTGACTACCTACCCTGTTTAATCTCCTAGTAGGATGACCCCACCCTTTATTCCCCCTGCCACGTCTCAGTCCTTTTTTCCGACTAGCCACGGTACCGCGAATGTCGGCTGACCCGCCGCTGGCACGCCGGTCGGATCCGCCGAACTTGTGATCCGAGCCGATGATCGGGCCGGGCCTCACTGAGCCTCCCGTCTGGCCGGGCAGTGCGGGCACTGAGCCTTGCGGGCGCGCCCCGGCCGCCGCCGGGGCGGTCCGGGTTGAACGCTCCGAGCGAGTCGGTCGGCCGCGCCCGCCCCCGCCGCCGGGCCGACCGTACTCGGGCCGGACTCGAGTCCGATGACGCGGGCGTGGCCGCGGGCCCGGGCGGCCATCCGTTCGCCGCCGCTGGGCCGGATGATGGTCGCATCAGGTCACCGCCGGTACCGGCGCGGTTCTTAGTACCCGGTAGTTCCCCCTGGGCGTATCCCGCGGCCGGGCGGCGGCCGGGCACCGTCACTGGGCCCCGGCACGGTGTGGCAGGCTGGCCGCCTGAGAGTCAGACTCTGTTGACCGGGCGTGACCATGACGGGAGTCCGAGTTAAAGATCAGTGTGAGGACAGGTCAGGAGAGTCGAGGAGGCTTGACCCTGACACTGTCGCACAGGCCAAACGGCCGGTAACGGCGAGAACTTCGGAACCATAGCGTTGCCTTTCTCAATTGACCTTGTAGCTCTAAAACGTTTCGCGGTGAGGGTGGTAGATTCAAATCCACGCATACCACGCCTCATGTGGGGGCGGGGTGGGTCTTCCGACCGTGTTCCGAATTCAAATCACGAAGAGCCAAGCAGGACTTTTTCAGGGGTAGGGTCTTCTTGAGTACAATTTCTTGGTACCAGTTAGTACAGTCCGAACCATGTGACTTTGGTACTCTTTTGATACCATTCGGGGTTCTCCCCTATGTATTGTACACACCCGGTACAAGTATAACCCCACTCCCATGAAAAATCTTCAAGCATGCTGGTGATTGCTTCATCCCTTGAACCTGGGGCCTGTCCGATCAAATCATATGGGCATACATAAGAAAACTGCAAGCCTGTATGTGGGGTCGGCCTGAACCATTCAATTCAAATGAGAGGGGGTGATGGAGGCGGGACTCCTTCGGATCCGAGAACCCCTCCGTTTGAGTCATTTTGGGTGGTGGGGTGGGTATGGAGCACCCTCAACTACCCACCTTTGAACGAGTTTGAAACTCTACAATAGGGGGTGGGGGTAACCCCCATTTCTCATTCCCCAAGCCCCCTCTCCCTGGACGAGCAAGAAGCGATGAAATGGTGCCTTCCTGACTCACCAGGATGAACCTTGATATTGAGAGACTTCGAATCCAACCCAACTGAGATAGAAATGAGATGAAGATCTCATATCATACCTGTAAGAGATGATCGAGCTTCTTTCTCAACTCTACAGGTTGGGCCAAGGTTTTGAATCATCCATCCTGCAATGGAATATGCACCCTAGGTTCAAACAATCCGCGGGTGTACTTGCAAATATTCTTCGAAGACAAGATGAAATTTTTATGATCAGGTAAGGAATTGATAATCGATACACCATTGAACAGAATCAACTCTGATTGACCCTTTATTCAAATTGCCGTAGGTTGCACGTTGCGCTCAAATGCATGACTGTGATTTGTGAGAAATTTGTATCCAGCTGTACCTTGAGCGACTTTTCTGTCTAGATATGTGTTCTCATGTCATCACTTGCTTTCAATTCTTCTAGTCTTACAGTCAGGATTCATGCACTTCACCTTTCTATGGAGGCAAGTCTTACATGCACTCAACCGTTCAACGATACATGAAGAGACGTTTGCACAGAAGATGACTGTTCCTGCCCGCATAGATGACTGTAGAGAACCGTTGTTGATCATGAATCACTATATCCATGATCATATTTCGATGATTTTTCCGTTTCGCTTCAAATTTTTCCTCGTTCATGATATTTTCACAAGGATTTCGATTGCACAGAAACCTAGTCAGAAATGAAACAATGTGCAGATGACGCCTTTGCGTATCAATAAATGAGACGTTCATCGGATCAATCCTGTCTTGGTGTCGCAATGCTACCGTGCAACTGTAGTGTTCTTGTCGCATGGCTCTACAGAGGAGTGCCTTGTTCAACAGAGCAAGCACTCGATGATTGCAATCGAGTCGCAAACACTGTGAATCAACAAACAGAATTGCACATTCAGGTTATCATATCTTTATTAGAAGAGTTACAATCAGGGTACAAGCACAACCGACCTCCCTGTAATCCTGAAGACGTTCCATCTTTTGCCTGGCGAGGGTGTATCTGCGTTAACCAAGAAGCATGTGACATGTGGCCACATCTTGAATGCTCTACGGTCAGGAATATCAGCATCTTCAAAACGGCTCTCTTGTTTGCTGTGACATCAACTGCTTGGTAGCGGTTCATCCGATGAACAGAATCTGATGCAAGTTCACACCAGTAATATTTACATGATGCATCAGTCAGTGTGATGAAATTGGTGATTTGCAAAATGTTTCATCGTTCCAACACATCCTTAAGAATTGGATGAAGAATCCTTCACGAACCACGGGACTTACTTGTCATCATTCGATTGTACTGAGGATCATCTTTGTTTCAAGCATCAACCTGCTCCGACCGTGACTGCTAAAATGCGCTGTAGATGTTCATTTAGAACTTTCTGTTGAGCTTTTCCTTCAGTTTTGCATGTTCTTCCATGCAGTGAGATGACCATGTCAATATTTTGCCTAGACCTGATCGACTCCCGAGTCCTGAACTTATCTTTGTTTGTGCCCATTTCATGTCACAACCTTTTCACATCGGGACAGTTCTGCGATGTGTCGAAAACCCCTTCGTATGCAGCCATTGTCTCGAGAGTTTTGTATGCTGGGCGGCTTACTGGTACGTCTACGTACTCCTGGATACCGGTTTGTAATATTGGTTGGGCACTTGCCAAAGTCTTCACCCGTTCATCAATCTCATACAAGTTGCCAAAGGCTGCAAATCATTCCAACCTGCATCAAGAACACGTCATTTGGATCTCTTCCCGTGATAATTTCGATGAAAAAAAAAGAGATAAATGCTCACCTGACTTGTCTTGCTCTGTCAAACGCTGCACATCCTCATATCTGTACGGCTTCGCAGAGTTCACAGTGGCGGGAAACTTTCAACATTGATATTTTTATTTTGATATTTGATATCGTATTGGCGATGCATCATGATTGAGCTTCGGAGGGCCAGCCACGCCTGTGAAGGCCATAATGGCCATCAAAGCTGACTTGCGATGCCGGGGAGCGTGACACACAAAGATTTCAGGCCGGAGGAGCGTGACACACAAAGATTTCAGGCCGAACATCCCCTCAATTTTCAAGTTGTTCCATGTAGGTTGGACTTGCTCCAAACTATATGGAACAACTTGAAACTTGGAGGAGCGTGACACACAAAGATTTCAGGCCGGAGGAGCGTGACACACAAAGATTTCAAGCCGAACACCCCCTCAATTTTCAAGTTGTTCCATGTAGGTTGGACTTGCTCCAAACTATATGGAACAACTTGAAACTTGGAGGAGCGTGACACACAAAGATTTCAGGCCGAACACCCCCTCAATTTTCACGTTGTTCCATGTAGGTTGGACTTGCTTGCGTGACACACAAAGATTTCAGGCCGAACAACCCCTCAATTTTCAAGTTGTTCCAAATATTTTTTGTGGCCCTGAATCATTTCGGGCGCACTGAGTGTTCCAAGTTCCGGCATGCCATGAGTCAGCGCCGCCCGGGGCTCAGGGCGCGGCAATGCCAGGCAGGCCAGCCTCCGAGTCGGACGCGGGCTCCGAGCCTCCGAGTCGAGTCCGGCGCGGCCGCAGCCCGGCGCGTGACACGGTCACCGTCGGCACTGCCGACTCTTAATGCCGGGATCAGCATGCCAGCCATGCCGCACTGCAGTGCGGCCAGTCCGATCAGATAGCCCCGCTGCCATCAGTTATGATTGAACACTGAAAACTCAAGGTCCGACGGCCGCGGCCGGGCGAGCCGGACTCTCCGGCGGACCGGTCCCAGGCTTCAAGGCTACCGGTGAGTCAACCGTTGAACGGTTGAACGGTCACTGACCCGGGTGAGAGTCAAGTTCCGAGCCAGGCGGCGGCCCCACGCGGCGGCAATGCCCGGCGGTACCGGGCAGTGGGCCGTCCGTGTGATGAACAGCGGCGGCGTTGCAATGATGCTTGAGTTTCATATTCTAGCATACCACTGTGACAGTCGGGAGTCACGTCTCATGTGCAGACGGTGCTGCCTCAATTCTCAGTGGTTTCGTGTCACAGTGTGCATTAAACTCGGTCTTGAGCAAGAACTGTCTTATACATTATACATTTATTATACATCGAGACGTGAAATTGAATAACTTCCTCGGAGGCTCTACGACAGAAGGAATAAGAAGTACTTGCTTGTGGACTTTGGGCTGGCATAGAAACAAATGCATTCATCAGGCCGCAGCATCGGCAACATCTTGCCCTGTGAGGTTTCTACGGCCAGCTCTCGCTCCTCGCGGAATCAAAAGGAGCAGGAGAAACTAGAGATGGCGCAGCAGATGGCGAAGAGGCGGATCATGTTGGGCGTCAGCAAGACGAACGCATCGGTGACAGTGAGGAACTCAGGGGTCAAATTCGAACGTCCAGTCAACCGCGCGGGAACTCGGGGATACCGAGCGCCCGAAGTGCTCATGGGCATGCAGTGCCAGACCACAGCAGTGGACGTGTGGGCTGCTGGGGTAGTACTGCTTACCCTGCTGTGCCGCACGACACAGTTCCAATGGTTCCAGCATAACGACATAGTCACGGCAACGATGGAGATCTCTTTGTGTACCTTGGAAGTGCGCTTGTCTGACTGTCTGAGCAGCTTGCGCATGTACATCAAGAGCATGGATGCTGTGTGGAAGCACAACTATGGGTATACGGGTCAGTACAGAGATAAGATCAGAGATGTTATCGAAGATTTCAAGCTCGACGTTAAGGTAAAATTGTTGTCGTCGGCGTTGTTGTATCAAGAGGATGAGGATGAGGGTGATATGGAGGAGGGAGGCCTGAGGTTGCTAACTTGATGTCATTCAGATTCCACCATTGGAACTGCATCTCAGCTATGCCCGCGGTTTCAAGCAAACATGGCGGACCTTGTCAAGCTCCCTGGGCGCGCATGCGGGATGCAAGGACTGGCTGGAGGTGGATGAGAAACATGCGATCTGGGACTTCCTCAACTGCTGCCTCGACATCGATCCCCGCACGAGGATTACGGCACTGGAGGCTCTGAAGCATCCCTTCCTCATTAGTGCTGTCAAGTAAACCGTCTCTACCCGTAGCTTTCTCCTTCCTCTCCTCTCATGTCCTCCTCGCCCTCCTGCCTTCCTCGCTAGTGGTCTTGAGTAAACAGTCTCTCCTCCGGCATCTCCTCTCGCAGCGATCAGGCATATCAACTAGCCTGGCCTCCCAGGCGTCCATTTCCCTTCCAACCCCTCCCCTCTCCTTCCCCCAGCCTCTCAAACTCCTCACCTCCTCACAAATGACACCGCCATATTACAATAGGTTGGGAGAAGCCTCAAAAAACGCAATCATGGCAAAGCAACAGGAAGTCTCTTGAAATATGTTTCATATTCAACCGACGAAGCATTCAGGTAAAGGAAGCTAGGGCGTCAACACAACAAGGAGAATCGAATTTCCTTTATGTCTTCGAAGGTTGCTTCTCTGATCGGTTCCCTTCATGTTTCCCTTCTTCTGGAAGTGAATAACCAGCACCTATAGCTGATGAGTGCTTTGGTACGCAAGTGCAAATTTCGATGCATACCTTTCACATTCAACCTACTATAGGTGTGATTCTCAGCCAAGAATTGAGCTGTTTGATCTCAGTACTTGCCTGGCACTTTCAGGAGTTAACATTGAGGGGCCATGGTCCTTGACTGCGCTCAGCAGCTGAGCAAACAGTCCCTGAGTACATTGGGAGTAGTGGGATAGGGAAGAGACCGGGGCAAGTGTGAGGTCGTTTACAAGTGTTTTAGATTGATACGAGAAGTTTGCACTACCCCCTACCCCTCAACACGGGCTGGAGGCCGTTGGAAAGATTCAAATCATTTGAATACCTACCCCGAGCCACCTCATGATTATTTAGTCAACTATACACGCCTATTCATATCAAATAGAGGAAGGTTTTGCTCAACATTGCCCTTCTCGTCTTGGATGGCCCGGCAGCCCCTGGCAACGAAAAAGGTACATAAATTGACGGAGCAAACATTTTTAGCTCAATTTTCTCTTGCCGCTTTAATTTGACTAAAACTACTATGAGAACCACCCTGGTTGACTGATCCGACAAGGATACGGAACGGCAACGCTATGCTTCGGAAGCCTGAGAAACTGAGACACGAGGCTCGGATCTCGGATCACTGGGCCCGGAAGCTCGAGAGCCCGCCCCAGCTTGAATTTTGCTGATCGGCTGGGGGTGGGGTGGGCATGTGGCCAAAGGAGGGTAGTTCAAGTCAAGTAGAGGGGTATTCACCTCGAGGGTGTTTTGTTGGTGGAGCCAGGGGGGTAGGGTGGTCGGCGAGCAAAGATTTTTGAAATGGTTGTTCGAGCAGGAGGAGGAGGGGGAGGAAGAGGGTGTGTGAGAGGGCGACATGGCTGGTTTCCATGCCAAAATGTTGAAATGAACACAAAGTTCTGATGGCGGACCAAGTCAGTTCGTCCTGCTAGCTCTTGATCTAATCGGAGAACATCGCAGACTGTCGTGGGGTTTGTGGAAACCTGTGGGGAAGCATCGAACGACGCGAGAAGGGACACATATCAGTTGCTGACAGGCTGCATCTGAGACACACATTGTAAACACGAGTTGTCCTGTGACTTCTGATAGAGTATCTTGTTGCAGAGTCCATCGTCGCAGCTCAACTAGAGGCGATTGTTCCAACAAACTTGTGTAACATGAAGGAGGCCGTGTCTCAACAACATCCGGTCATTGAGTATCAGGGACAGAGGCTGCGAGTGTTGAAGAAAGACAAGTTCCTCGGACCTTATGGGTGGAATGTGAGCAAGCTCATTGATGTCAGTACGAATGATATTGCCTGGGATTTCCGTTCGGATGAGAGGAGCAGGTTGGATCAAGTGCTGCGGGAGGGTGTGTTTGTGCAGGAGAGTGAAGAGCGAGCTACTGTACAAGATCAGAAGAACGTCCCCAGTGAACAGCGAGCCAATGCAGAAGATGAGAAGAATGAGCTGAGAGAACAGCCAGAAAATGAAGAGCTTACGAAGAATGGGCTCAAGGCCGTTCAGGCTGCCGATGGATCAGAGGACACATCCAAGGTGTGGAGCATCAAAGTGCACCAAGACGGTACGCTGGAAAGGGACGGTTCGGTCGGGGACCGCGTTGCATGGGCCATCGAGCACCAGGGGAGGAGAGTAGCATGTAAGAACGCTCACGCGTGCCTGACGTACAAATACTCTTCATCGGTCGAGTTCAAAGCTTTCCTGGTCGACATGCAAACATACAGTCGTTGTGTGTCGAATGAGGTCCAGTTCCTCCCTCCTTCATCCTCAGCCAGCGGCTTCGTTGAGATGTCGAGCGAGAGCTTGGATCGGAGTGTAGACCGAAGTGACTTCCACATCGTTCCCAAAGATGCTGCTGTTGCCCCTAAGTCATATGCTGAGGGACCGCAAGTAGTCAGCTCAGCTGAAGTTGAAGCCCTGTTTCCCGGCACATTGCACAAGATGATGAAGGAGACTATCTTGGACAAGATTGAAGCTGGAGAACTGTGTCATGGTGATGCGAAGACAGGTAGGAGATCGCAATCTCTTGAGCACGGTGATTGCAAAACCGTCTTGTGCTTTCGTATCAACGTGATCTACTCCTCACCTTGAAGTTTAGGGCATCGGGGAGTGTTCGAAGATGTTGCAACTTCTATCAAGCATGTCTTGAATGAGAGTGCACAAAAGTGTGCTGTCTCAGAACAATCTCGATTGATCGCCCACGCAATACATGATGAAATTGTAAAGGTTTACGACGCTTTGTTGAGACAGGTGAAACCATTGTTCTTGTTGTCTTCCCTGTGAAAAATTGTGGAAATTGGAGATAACAAAAGCAATGTGTCAGGGAAAGCAGGTGGCATCGAAGCAATCATCAAATAACGAGGCAAGAAAAATATCCAATTTTTCCTGTTTGTTTGTTTACATCTGGGGGCAGAGCAATGATGGCAAAGTGTCGTTTATGCAAGAGCGCATCAAAGAGCTCGATGCTGAAGTTCAATGTTTGATGGAGGCGAGCAAAGATTACGAGAAGAGATACAAACTTGCAGAACAAGACGTGAGCTTTCAGACTCTTGTGCTCGGCCTGACGATCGTGGTAGTTGGAGTTCGCCAAGGAGAGGGAAAAAGTTCTTGCCGAGCGAGAGAGCGATCTCAAGGCTTGTCTGTCGGGGCTGAAACTCCAGCTGGAAGGGCTGGAAGAAGAGAAGAGGATGTACCTCGTGGTGAGTTAGCATGCGCCTTGTACGATGAGATGACAAGAGGACGTAGGAAAAGAAACATCTCACGGGCAGCTACCAGAGTCTGTTACAGGAGGTGCACGATGTTGAGGTAGCCAAGGGCGCGTCGCTCGACGTTCCTCACTCACATCCTCAGGCGGAGCTGAGACCCTCCCTGCTTTCGCTCAGCACTGACTTTGCAACGATGTCGGGGCTGTTGATGGAAGCAAGGGCTAACAAGGATCGATTTGCCTTGAAGGTGACTTTTCTCTCCTATCATTCAGTCGTAGCTGAATGTGATTGGGCAAACCTTTCTGGACCCTCTTGTCTCCTGCGCGGAATTCGTGGTGAACTCGCTTCCTCCTGTTTCTTTCCTTCTCTTCACTTCCTTGTCTTGCTGATCCTCCTGTTCGTTTCCCCCTTCCTCCTCGCCCCCTCGTCCCTTCGCTGGTTTTCCTCGTTCCTCATCATTCACACTTGCTATCCTTTCATCCTTCCGTTTCGTTGACATGAAGGTGGAAGAGTTGGAAGAGCAGCTTGAAGCTGCCAAAAGTGACAACGAGAGTTTGGAATCGCGTGTGATTGACCTAGAAGAAGAAGTTCGAGAACTAAGGTGATCTCAGTCTCTTCACCCTTGCACTCCACCTTGACATCAGCGCATGTCGTCAGCTCGCAATCGGTGCTGAATGGAAACAACTTGAAAGTGGCCTCGAACAGGTTGTCAATGTTGCAGTGGGAGCAGCGGCATGTCAAGACAGCCCTGAAGGTGGATTGACCGTGTTTGTCGATGTTGTCTGATTGGATGGAAGGACGTCTGTGATGAGTTGAAGGAGACAATCTGTCTGCTGGCGGATACACAGACTGTCCAGCCTTGTCAGTTCGCCGACACGAGCTCGACGTCGTCATGGGCTGAATCTCTACAATCCGTTGAAAAGCTGCAGAGGGACATCGAAAGCGTTGAAGAGAAGCTGAGCATCGGGATGGAGATGGTGAGCATCGAACCGCGAGGGTGGATAACATCTCAGTTTTTGCAGGTGAAACACAAGCAGACAAGTTTGCATATCCTCGAGCAAACAAGCAGGTGATAGGGCAGTGATTGTGATGATGATGAAGTAGATGAAGTTGTTGTTGATGATGATTGAGGTGATGATGATGATGATGATGATGATGATGAGGAGGAGGAGGAGGATTATGTTACTTTTGTTGGTGGTAGCGTCTGATCATGGAGTTGATACTTGCTTGCAGGTATCACGAGCGGCAGAAACGTGCTCTGCTCGAACAAGTCTGCAGATCTCTCGAGACATTGTGCAATGAGCTTCAGGTGAAGACGTCTGTATGACAGGGTGCAAGTCTAGTTGACGAAAACGTCCTGCAGACGGTGAGCGCGGAGGCGACATGTACCACGATCGAGCTTGGAGAACAACTCGATCAGTTGTCAAGTCTGCAAACTCACAACAACGAGCATCTAGAGCAGACATCTTCAGCGGAGTCAGCATCTGAAAGCCTGGCATCAATAACAAGCCGACACAACCGACATGTTGAAACTTTGATGTGCACTCATGAAAACACAATAAGCGCGCTGAGGACAGGATTCGAGTCGCAAATCTCGGTGTGTTGAAAGATGTGGTGATTGAGTTGTTGTTGTTGTTGTTGATGATGATGATTGAGATGGAGATGATGATGATGATGATGATGGAGATGATGCCGTCCTCGTCCTCGTCGTCAAAGACTCAGTGAGATGATGATGATGATGATGATGATGATGATGATGATGATGATGATGATGATGATGATGATGATGATGATGTTGTCGTCGTCCTCTTTGTCAAAGACTCTCACTGCGCCTTACACTACAGGCGCTGGAACAACGGATCTCTTTCCTCGAGAGCATCGCACAAGACAAACAAGTGAGGGCCGACGTTCCCCATCGTCTTGCGTGCGAGTGACAAGCTGGGCAGGATGAAGTGAACGAGCTGGAGGAGGCTCTTGTTGAGCTCGAACAAGTGCGATGACGATGTTGAGAAGTTGCTGTGATGGTGTGAGGACAGGAGAAAGACATGGAGATCAGCAGGATCAGACATGAAAGTGAACTAGCGATCGTCGAGATGCAGGTGAGTGTTATGATGAGGAGAACTGCTGTGTGTGACGGGATCTTGTGGTTTTACAGGCCAAGTTGAATGCTCAGGATGCCATGGTATCCATGTTGAAGGATGTTGACTCGAGTCACCGGCGGTCTATGAGCGAGATGTGAGTCTGTCGTGACAGGATAAGGAGCAGCAGCTGCTATGATTGAGATGATGATGGAGATGATGGAGATGATGATGATGAGATGATGATGATGATGATGATGATGGAGATGATGGAGATGATGATGATGGAGATGATGATGATGATATTGAGATGATGATGAAGGCGACAATGATTTTGAAAGTGACGGTGATGGGAATGATGATGTGGATGCGAACTGACGGCCATGGAGACGATGTCAGCTGCTGACGATGGTGGTCAGGGAGTTCAAGACCCAAGAACGAGTCGACAGCGCCATCGAGAGCCGAGAGATCGCCAGGTCCGACCCTGGCGGCAGCAGCCATGAAGCTGAGATGCTCGTCAGGCTGAGAACGGAGCTGGAGGAACTGCAGAGGCTGTCGCAAGTGAGGATACAAGCGAAATCTGAGAGGTAGGGGGAGGGGGGGAGGGGCGGTTGATGGCTGTGGCTGAGTTGCTTGCTAAGGGTGAGGGAGTTGGAAGCTGCTCTCCTGCGGAAGGCAGATAGTCTGAAGAGTCTGCGGACGTGAGTTGGAACGATGAAGCGCCATAGAATCTTTCCTC